CACAGTGCGGGGCAACAGGGATTCCCCCCCACCCACCATTTGGCACCCACGCAGCAGCTGCTCCATGGCACGGGTGCAGTGTAGCTCAGCAGGGCACTGCGCACTGCATGGGAGCTGGGGCGGCTTCACGTGTCAGCCGGCCTACTTTGCACCCAAGAAAATGTATCACTTTAGCAGACTCTCAACACTTTCCTGTACTAATAATTTGCTGATCATCTCATTTTAGAATTCAGTTTCTGTATCCAGTCATCAATATCAGCAATTATAGAATACAGTAATAAACTAGTTCCATTTCACTGACGAATAAAGAAATGTAACAACTTACCAGCAAATTTTCAAATTGTGCAAAACTCATTGCAATAGAAGTTGTACGACTCCTGAGATCCATAAGGTCTGGATAAATGTCAGATTTTCCTTGGGTCAGAAACAACACCGGATACTTATTTTGCTTATGCCGAACCCTGTAGAAAGAGTTTTAAAATACAGAACACTCTTTAACATATTCCTAAGGAAAAGGAATCTTTTCAACAGTGTTTCTAGCACACAAAGTAGAAACCAACACACGACACATAAACAGGTCAACTGATGCACACTCACCAGTGATAAGTTTCCACCCTTTAAGAACTTCAATTGTTTTGTGTCTTCCCAGACTACAGTAATTTACTGCATACAGATTAAATACTGCCAGATGCAGACGTAATCCCTAGTTCTAAGACAGTCCTTAATGTGACAAGTATTGGCTACTGCCAGAAAAATGTACTTTCCTTGTATTTGACTGTACTGAAAATACCCAGAACTATGTTGAAACTGTAGAATATGTATTACTTGGTCTTTATTTTCCTTATACAGTACCCTGAAGGAAACACCTTCCAAACTGATGCAAACCCAAGATAAGCATGCTGAGTAGTGCTCTGTTATCTTTTCTGCACCATCACTAAATACCATTCAATCCCTTTTAGCATCTCCACTGCCTTGTTCTGACTGTTCAACAAAGTAAATGAATAATTTATCCACTGTCAACTCTCACATCTAGCTTATAAGGTAGTAACTTGGGGGTCATCGTTGACCACAAGATGAACATGAGCCTGCAATGCGATGCGGCGGCTAGTAAAGCGACCAAAACGCTGGCTTGTATCCATAGATGCTTCTCAAGCAAATCCCGGGACGTCATTCTCCCCCTGTACTCGGCCTTAGTGAGGCCGCAGCTGGAGTACTGTGTCCAGTTTTGGGCTCCACAATTCAAAAAGGATGTGGAGAAGCTTGAGAGAGTCCAGAGAAGAGCCACGCGCATGATCAGAGGTCAGGGAAGCAGACCCTACGATGACAGGCTGAGAGCCCTGGGGCTCTTTAGCGTGAAAAAGCGGAGGCTCAGGGGTGATCTGATGGCCACCTACAAATTTATCAGGGGTGACCACCAGTATCTGGGGGAACGTTTGTTCACCAGAGCGCCCCAAGGGATGACGAGGTCGAATGGTCACAAACTACTTCAAGATCGTTTCAGGCTGGACATAAAGAAGAATTTCTTTACTGTCCAAGCCCCCAAGGTCTGGAACAGCCTGCCACCGGAGGTGGTTCAAGCGCCTTCATTGAACACCTTCAAGATGAAACTGGATGCTTATCTTGCTGGGATCCTATGACCCCAGCTGACTTCCTGCCCTTTGGGCAGGGGGCTGGACTCGATGATCTTCCGAGGTCCCTTCCAGCCCTGATGTCTATGAAATCTATGAAATATCTTCTAGGCTTTGTAGCATCCTTGGGCGTTGATTCCCATCAGAGAAGGGACATGTGGACTACTGGCAGGGACCAGGACTCCCTCTTGGACAATGGAGATAGGATGAGACCACTCCCCAGTGGAGAGCACGTTTCTGTTTAGTGTCTCCTCTTTTAGACTATCAGGCCTTTGGGGACAGTGTCTGTGTCCTGCGTCCTTCTAGTGCTGAGCATATGAGGGTTGTGTCATGATTTAGGTTCAGATGCACAAGCGCAACACAACCAATGCCAGATACTAGAAGTAATATGAAGACATTTTTTTCCCAGAAGTATCAGGAGCAGCTCTTCCCGTGACAGTGCCCAGGAGCATAGCCCTGGTGCTTTGGGATTGAGCTTATAACATTTTCTGTGAGAAATCCATCAGAAACAGCCCAGCAGGGAGGTCAGAGCCAGCATCTGACTGGTAGATTATGGAGGCCTGACTTTCAGTGGATGAGGGAGGGAGAGCATTCACCCCTTTGACCCATCAGCATTTTGTCCAGAAGAGGTTGCAAGTGCCCTAGGAATGCCCTTCACTCCGGCTGCTCCGGGGACATCTGGATGCAAGAGGCCTCTTGTGCCTAGAGAGAGCACTGCGGTGTGTCCGTGGCTCTTGTGACACTGAATATGGCCCCCGTGAAGGCTGAGGTTCCCCTGGCTGGTGAGGGAGACTGAAACCCCAAACCTGCCCCAGTTTTTCAGTGTATGAGAGGGACCAAGCTCCTTCCTGCTGCTTGCCCCAGACAGAGCAGGCAGACGGACAGACAGGGAGGAAAGAGACAAATAAAGCAGAGAGAGGAAGAGTACAGAGCAGGGTCACAAAAACCACAACCTATTTGACTGCACATTGGGGAACGACCTTGTCTCTAAGCCCTGGTGTATGAAGCCCTACATGTTTCCAGAGATCCATGTGTAAACCGGGCAGCGGCACTACCTGCAGCCACGGCCAACTTTTTGGGATCCTGGGGTGCCAATAGGTCTTGGTTTACTCCCACTGTCTACCGGCTGGGAGCACCACTCATGGGAGTGCTCTCCCGTGGTCCTCCCTGCACCAGACCACACACTAAATAACTATTTAAAATAATCTATTATTTACAATAATAGCTGAGAGACTGACAAATTCAGCATCCCATAGATAACAGGCAAAATATTTTCAATGAGCTCAATAATAATCTATACCAGCAGATAAATCAAATACTTATCATCTCACAAAAGCATTTATGTTATCAACTTTAACACTCAGGCAACTAATAATAGGTAGATGCAGTTAATCAGCCAGGTCTCCACAAAATCACTCTGCCCAGGGCAAAGTGGCTGACTGGGGAGGGGCTGCACTGGAGCCCCGGGGAGCGGTGCTTGCTCTGCCTCAGAAGAGGGGCAGCAATGCCGTCATCTGGACAGAAGATGGGGGTGCCTGTCAGGACCTCAGGTGTGGCTGCTCCGGAGACCAGGGTTTCTTCCCTCTTCCTGTCTTTCCTGGATGCCTGCAATCAATCACGTGATTCCCAAGGCAGCTCCCCTGCGTTTAGCGCCTGCAGTGCCCCTTCTCAGCTGTACCTTATTGAGCTCTGCTGGAGCTCCGACAAAGCCACGATTCACTGCTGCTTTCTCTAGCTCTCCCAGAAAACCTCCTGTAGCAGCCCCTGTCCCTGAGTCCTTCCCAGTGACTCCCTGCACCCAGGGATCTTAAGAGTGGGGAGGGGAACCCGCTTGCACACCCCTCCTCCTTTAGTAAAGGATACCAGGCAGTCCTGGGTACTCAGTAGCTGGTGGTTCCTCTGCCCTCGGTAGCAGGTCACTCAGTCACAGTTCTTCTGCAGTCGTCCTCTCAGAAGCACTTGTCCTGGGAGCAGCCCCCGCAGAAGCTGCCCTTCTCCACACAGCTTCAGCTACCCTCTCCCCAGCTAGTTTCCCCTCTTTTCCCAGGATTCCCACCCTGGAGTTACAGCCTGCTGCAGATCCTTGTCCCAGGAGTGCAAACACCCTGATTGAGCTTGCACGCTCTGAGGAAACTCTTTAGCACCTTTAAACATGCTACAACCAGCTTTACACAGAGAGAGGCACACAAACTCTCATGCATGCATATGTGCGCCTGCCTGCATACATGCGCAGCACGGGCTGCCCTGGGAAGATAGTCTAGAGCCACATTATGGAAGATCCATCAAGCCGGCATCAGTCCCACCCACACACCTCATCAAAGCCATGTAACTGTGCTCCTCTTCCCATACCTTTTCTGTGTATATTTTGCTTTTGAATGAAAGTAATTATAGCTGTAGTGTAGGAAGTGGAGTAGAGAAATCCCTGGGCTGTCGGGAAATGGATTGAGAACTGTTGTTCTCTCATGGGCTTTGTTGCATGACATCTCTCCTGGGTGACAGAGGAGCTGTGAACAGCAGTGATTGGGTTACATGCAGCCTGTCCCTGCTGCTTCCCTTTGTGACCTTTGATCATGAAGCAAGGCAGAGGATCTCTGATTATGCCTGCAGATCTTCCCTGCTCTGTTTCCCAAGTGCTGTTGCAGAAGAGGGTGCTCATGACCACTAGGTGTCAATCTTGGCATACAGATCTGCCACGAGACAACTAGCTATGAGTGTTAGGCAGCGTCCAGGGAAATGGGCAAATAAGGGTTTCTTCTTCCGTGTAGTCTAACTGCTGATTTGCTCCATGTCTCACAGTCTCTGGATTGCCCCTTTCTAAAACAATGTCCTTTTCCTGCCATCTTTGGGTGCTTGGGTTTTTGACCCAGAGAGATTGTGACAGCCAGAACCAGAGGGATTAATAAGCAATAATATGTGCTTCTTGGAGGCATTTGGTATTTTGCCTAAACAGGTACTATTAGTTAATATAAGCTTGTAAGTTTGTAAACTGCAAATGTAACCTGTCTGTCATAAGTTTAACCAAAATGATAAATTAACTGTTCATGGAACTGACTGGGCCCCAGAGGCAAAGCTGTCGCTGTGAGATTAGCTGGCCTAATGGTTTTTTGTTCAGGGTTCAGCCTTAGCGATAAAAACTGGATCCAACTGCGTGGCACACCCAAGACAGTCCAGGAAAGCACATCCCAAGAAAGCATATGGAAATGAAGCCTAAAAGGGGTTGGGATTTAGGCGGAGCGATGTCAATTCCAAACCTAAAGGTGCTGCATCATAATTTGCTCATTGGATAAACCCGAGTCTGGGTAGTAACCTTTTATGATCATTTTAACACCTTTCAGTCCCATAGGGTAACAGCTCTAGGGCAACATTGTGAGTGGCCCTGAGGCCAACAGATGAACATAAGACTAGGTATAAAAAACACGTGCACCAGGTAACCAGAAGGAAGGAGGGAACAGAACGGTCATTTCTGTTCCACGCCCGGACCCCAGACTCCCGGAGTGAGTGAGGATCGGATCCTGATCAAGGGACCTTCCCCGGTAACCCCTCTGACAGCGTCTACCATCAGGGACACCTGACTTTGCTGGAATCACTTGGCGCGCACCTGGCATTGAGGGACTATCGACAAGTTGCCAACCCATGTCTGTCTATTTGTTGTTTTGAACAGCCCAGTGTGGCTAATACCCTCGCAGTGCCCAGTTGGCCTGTGACAGATGTATCTATCTATCTATTTATCTATCTATCTGTTGTTATTATCTGTTGTTATTATTTACTATTGTCTCTTTTATACTGCGTTATCTGCTTATCACATTTATCTTTCTGTTAACTGTTGTGAGTGTGTAAGCTATAATAAATTTGCCTTTATTTCACTCCCAACTTTGCCTCCTTGATCTGAAACTGAATCAAACAGCCCAGCTGGCCTGTGATAAAATTGATACACTCACAGTGGCCAGCTGGCCTGTGACAAGAGATGAGGGGGATGGAGGTCTTGGGCCTAAGGCCCTGGTGCAGGACTCAAGGGGTCGGCATTCAGTTCTCTTGTGTGAATTAGGGATGTCAGTAAGACTCCTTCCTGCCCTTCCTCTGTCTTGCCTGCTTGGAACGTAAGGGCTTCAGAGGCGAGAGCATCTCTCAGTGAGTTTGCCCAGTGCTGAGAGGCCCTGGCTCCAAGTGGAGCCTTCTGGGGATTAGTGCAATGCAAACAAAGTCTGTGATTAAAAAGAAACACATAGGTATCAGTTGAACACAATGTTCAATTGCTTCCCTCCACACCAGGGCCTCTGGGGCCCCGTGGACGGGTCCCAGCATGGCACGGCAGAGCGGGGCCAGACAGGGAAGCTCATTGCTGCCACTGGGACACCTGCACTACTGCAGCTAGTTGCCTGCTTGGAACGTAAACAGAGAAAGCCAGGATCCCTGGCGATGATGCAGCAGGAAACTGTTCTGGCCGCGAGGTGTCACGTCTGCCCCACAGACCTGACCCCCCTCCGCAGGCCAGGTGCCACTAGGGAAATAGGCAACCCTGGGCAGGGGTTTCCCCTTCTGCACAGCCCATTGGCACCATGTCCCACAGTGTCTGAACTGGCCTCTTCTGAAACACATCCTTCCCCTGGTGTACTTGTGTCCAGGAGAAAGAAGAATTTGTGTGAAATACTGGTGGGCTCTGCTTTTGTCCCATCTGAGGGAAAAGTGCTGCAGAAACCTTTGTATAGAAAATGGGCACCCGGGTATTTCCCTCTCTCTCCTCCCATGCCTCTGCTCTGCCGTGGAGGTCCTGGTTTCCTGGGACAAACCATGTCCTCTCTTCGTTCCCTGCTTGGGACTTGGGGATGAGGGCAAGACTTCTTCCTGTCCCTCTGCTGTCTTCTTAGTTTGGAGCATGAAGGCTTCATGCCAGGGAGTCTCTCACTACATTGGCCCGGCATTAAGAGGCCCCGGCTTTCTGGTTTGAATGCAATACAGACCCTTTTGCTACTGGTCTTTGCTGGCTGTTCTTTAAGGCACCCCCAGGGTCTGCAGAGGTGAGTAACAACAGGAATCATAGGGTCTCCTCACAAATTGACTTCTTGCCTGCATCCAGGTCTTCAAAATTCAACTGACTCTTCCTGATTGCCCTTGTCTCTTACTGTGCTGCGCCCTGGCTCCACCAACCTCCCTGAAGTAATCCAGAAGGGCACAACATGCACCTCCTCATAATCCTTCCTTGTATCCTCCTGCTACTGCCTCTCTCGGGCCTCTGGCACCTTCCGCTGTTGATTGTTTCAAGAAGGGGCCATGTCCTTAGATGTATCTGTGCAATGCCCAATGCAGTCTGGCCCCTCTCAGGATCCGGGCCCCTGTGCACAACAGAGACGGGACCGCTGAATATTGGTGCCATCGGTAGGGAGGAGCACTGTGAGCAGGGCGACCCGCAGAACTGGAAGCAGCACAGTCATGCTAGCACTGTGCTTCACCTGGGGTATTTCTCCTATTAGGAAGCTGGGTACGGTGGCTCATGCAGAGTAGACCCCAGAGTTTGTCACAGAGGTGGAGACGTTATCATTCAAAACACCTTCAGTGTGAAAGATGAGCAGAATGAGGGGGAAATGGACCTTACACTCACCTGGCCCCACCTGCCTCTATCTCACTGCACCCAGGAGGAAGTCAGGTGTTTAAAAACCGGCACGGACAGGCTGAAGCACTTTCCCTCCCAGCTCTGAGCAGTGGGCACTGACTTGCCAAATTCATGGGCACAAGAAGCAGAAGGAATAAGAGCACACCCAGACCACGTGATGCACCAGCAGCAGCCAGTGACAGGGGCAGATTTGCATGAAGGGGCCGTTCTCAGCTCTGGGCATTTAAGAGAGACTTGGATGATCCCAGTTACAGCCTGTTCACTTCAGGAAGCCGAGCTGGCCTGGATTCCCACCATGGCCTGTGCCCTTCTTCTTGTTCTGCTCGCATACAGCTCAGGTGAGCAGGGAGGGTTCATGATGTCTTGGAGGATGTTACTTTTTTAGCAAGTGCAATAAATGAATGGTAAATAATGGGTCTGTACTGTTAATCCCAGGGGTCCAGTCGCAGCCTGTGGTGACTCAGGAGCCTTCGGAGGCTTCGGTGTCCCCAGGAGGGACTGTCACTCTGTCCTGCAGTGTGAGCACTGGAGCCATCACCACTGGCAACTATCCCTCCTGGTACCAGCAGAAACCTGGCTCTCCTCCTCAGCTGCTTATTTATGAAACTAATAAGAGACCCTCCGGGGTCCCCACCCGGTTCTCCGGGTCCATCTCTGGTCAGAAGGCCGCCTAAACCATCACCGGGGCCCAAGCTGAGGACGAGGCCGACTACTACTGTTTTGTGTATACTGGCAGCAACAATGCATGCTCCACTGTGTTTCATGCTGATGAGGAACTGAGACACAAACCTGTCTCTGCTCCTCTTGTCTCCACATGGGTTGTCCTGGGCTTTCCCTGCTCAGGCTGCAGACTTGGGGCTTGGCCAGGAACAAATCGAACTGCTTCGTTCTGTTTCTTTGAGAAGCCCAGCCCTTTTCTCAATGGGAACAGCCCCTTCCTGTTCCCTCCTGCCTGCCTCCATATAGGGAACATCTCTGCCAGGTACATCTTTGCTGTCCACACCCTGCAGGGCAGCTCAGCCAAGTCCTTGTATTCTGCAGACCTGGATTGTTTTAAACATACTTTGCACTTGTTTTCTTAATGGCCTATCTTCATAGTCTCCACCTACCCAACCCTAACATTGAACAACCACACAGTGAGACCAAATCTGAGTTGATGCATATGGTATTTTAGTTGGTCTCCCTTACGTACACCTACATGATGGCAACATGGAGACATACAGCTAGATGAGTGGTCAGTTGTGTGCCCTGGGTCCATATTACATTTCCTCAAGGCAGCATTGTGGCATCTATGTATTATTATGAGGGGTCATACAAGATCCACCTGATCTTATTTTTCTACAGCACAGGATTGTCCTGCGTATCCCTCTCTCTACTGTCTGTGTCATTCTGGGGAGGAAAAGCCCAGATTCTGCTCTCAGATATGTGGTTCCAAATGCAAAGTCACGTATAAAACCCCAGAGAGCAACTCCAGATTTACACTCACGGCGTACATGAGATGAGAGAGAGGCCTTACTGGCTTTGGAAAGGACAATGCATGACTAGTGCATGGCTAGATTGCAATTCAGGTGCCTTTGATTGACTGACTGACTGCTGCACATTAGTCATCCTGGTCTCTACTGGCCATTTCCCAACTACCAAAAACACATTTCACAGGAACATGGGACTGAAAACCACTTCCAGGGTCATCACTTACAGTCCCCTGTGTGATTGACTGCGGAGGGTGGAAAGGGCTTGAGGCAGCCTGTGGGAA